TGGACCTCTCATTGGGAAATGCTGGTTTAAAGAGGTCCTTCCTTGGTGGGACAGAAACCCAGCCTTGCCATTACCGGTATACCGTCTCCCTCCTGCCACACACTTCCTATCAGGCCACTGTTCAGCCACCTTGAACTCTTCAGAAAAAAAAGGCTGAATGAAACCCCAACTCCTTTGGTAATAACAGGAAGAGAGCGCTGTGCATTTATTAAAACAACATATAACACAAACTCAGTTACCATCCCCTATGTCAGGGATGGGCATCGAAGTACAGTACATTATACCTTCCAGGCAGGCTTGTGAGAGCTACCCAGCCCTCCCAGTGAGGAAAGGAAGTGGGCAGTTCTAGCAACCTGGCTTCCCTCCCCTCTAACAATCTCCAGTCACACAATGACCAGGCATTATCATACAAAAGTTCCTTTACAAAAAGCACCAAAATGGCATACATATACAAGTATATACAAAAATCACATTTTAAAAATGTACAAAATATTTCATTTTGCACCAACGTAGAAAAGTGTCCTGTGTGGTTGTTTCAAGCACATTTCCAACTCTGTTTCAGTGACTGCTGGACACAACGGTGGAGGCCCTACTCCTAGTCCCTGCTCTCTGAGCAAAGAGAAGACACACCTCCCCAGTGCCCCTCCAGGGGCCCCGACCCCTCCCACCCTGGGCCTGTCACCAAGGCAGCTGGGCCCATCCCCACCCTCCCCAGTCTCTCTGCATCTAGAGAGTCTCTTCCTCATCTGGCTCCTCACTGGTGTTCTGGAAAACAAACAAACAAAAAAGATGAAGAAACACAAGGTGAGGGACTCAGAGAGATCCAGTACCTGCCAAGCTGCAGTGACAAAATGATCAAATTTCTGCCTGGCTGCTTCCTTTCAAACCAAAATAGGATTTAGTTGCCACAACACTGTGGATTATATGTTCAATGCACAGCTCCAAAAGTTTACTCCGTAGTTTTCAGCTGGATTGGAATTTAGTTCCAATAATAACTTGGCTTGAAAAATAATAGCCTTAGCAAACATGTGCTAATTAGCAAANGGCAAAACATTTATGCTTTTAAGAAGTGTATCTTATATGTCCTTTTTGTTCCCTTTAATGCAAGGCACATTGTAAATTTTCAACAAATGCAAATTACATATTGGATCCAGATACACATACATTTTATAAAAACTTTTATGCCAGATTTTCTTTAATACTTTCCCATGATGCATTTTAATTATTTGTAAGAGTCTGACTAATTAATCAAGGCTTTGATATACTGAAAACTGCCAGGTCCACTTGTATTATATACCGGGGTCCAGCAGAGATCCCTAAGAGACCTAGCAGTTCACAGACCTCAACATTACCTGAGGATTCTTATTTTTAAAATATAGATTCCCATATTCCATAACTAGAGTCTGATTTTGTAGGTCTGGGGTGGGGTCTGGGAATCTATATTGTTAAGACCTCTGTTTGATGCTATTGTGAAATTATTGTTCATTTTTTAATAGTATAGTGGCTCTGATTTTTTAAAGGCATCTTTATCTAAAGTATTGAAGGATAAAATGACATGATATTTGGGATTTGCCTTAAAATAATCCCAGTTGGGGGAGCGACTAATAATGGTAGAAAACAAAGAATTTTGTCAATAACTGTTGAAACTCAGTGATGGGTATGAAGGTACGTTATACAAGTACTATTCCCTATACTTTTCTATATATTTGAAATCTTCCAGAATTAAGTGTTTAGAGAAAAATAAGCCTTCTCCAGTGATTCTAATGAAGCAGCCTATGAAACCGTATTCAAGAGTCATTGATTAGCATTGATGGGCAGCTGATTAGCTCATTTGGTTAGAGCACAGTGCTCACAATACCAAGGTTGCCGGTTTGATCCCCGCATGGGCTGCTGAGCTGCGCCCTCCACAACTAGATTGAAACAACTGCTTAACTTGGAGCTGATGGGTCCTGGAAAAAGACACTGTTCCCCAATAAAAAATATTTTTTTTAAGATTAATTGGAATAACCTCTTTGGAGCCAGTTTTCTGTTATGCAGCATGATCTTAAAGGAAGCTTGTTGATCAAGCATCTTCATACCACCCTTTCGTGTTCTGGTTTGCAAAGACAGGCAGAGCCCTTCATGTAGCAAAGTAGAGATCTTATTTGCAATTAACAGGTATCTTCCTGGAATTTAAATTTTAACTGACTGCCCACCCTCCTCCCTCTGATAACTGACAGAATAATAGACTGACACGCTGCCTGTTTCCGATGGAATCAATAAGCTAGAGAAATCTGAAGAGCGAATGTGGATAGATTTGTAATACTGATTCTTGTGATTTGAAGGTGATAAAAACCTCTTGCTTTCTGGCCTCAAATTCCTTCAGTTTTCCATGGGACAATACTTCAGAAGATAAAACTACAATAAAAAGTAAGTGTGTGATTATCAACAAGGAGTTATGATGGGAGGGTGTTACCTGGAGGGCTTCTGGGGGCTGGCAAGATTCTTTTTCTTGACCTGCATGGTAGCAACACAAGATTTCATTTTATAATAGTTTATTAAACTCTACAACTAATTTTGTACACTTGTGTGTAACATTAAAATTTTTTTTTTCAATGCTTCAGCGCTTGAAAAAGGAATAGAAATGAGAGCAAAATTTGACTCCCTGAAATTCAAGGTTAGGGACTGAGTTAGCCTTGGAAAAAACCCCAGAAATAAAAATGGGCAGAGGTATGAGGGTTTAAAGCACTTTCATAAAGTGAGTTGTATAGAGCTCCAATTAGTTCTAGAAGATGTCACATATTAAGATGTAATGTATCAGGCAGTATTCCAAACACCGTAAATTTGATGAACCAGTCATTGTCTGAAGTTAAATAGCTTTCTTTATGGCAGGACTTCTCAG